AGAGAGATACGTATAACAGTACAAGCTTTGTTGGAGAACAGTATTGTAACATAGAGAGGTAGTGTCATTTTTACATATACAAATACAAATAAATTGTTATACTAATTAGAGAAGTAGATACTTCCAAGTAGTTAATATACATATATACATGTTATGTAATATTACTATGTGTAAATATATATATATATAATATATTATTATATATATATGTAATGACATACTGTTACCTTGCAGGAATCCCCAAGGAGCTGGAACTCGACATGTAGGAACAATCATGAAGCAGTCATCTTGTATATCAGGATAGGCAAGTTCCGCACTGGACATTACGACATATACAAACATGCTGTGGTTGCAGTGTAGTAGCAATGAAAGCAATTTTGAAATTCAAAGTGAAAAGAAACACTCTTGTCATGTTTCGACCTGTACCTGTAAGCTCCTCAGTTCCTTTTGCAAAGCTTGATGTGGAGGCACAAGTTATATTCCAATTTTGCAGCTGACATGGAAATCCATCTGGTCCAAAGAGGAGATACAAATAGTTTGTGATATCCAAACTCCTGTCATTATGAAAAACAAATTGCTTGTCGAAGTTAATCCATTTGAGACTAACTGTTTGTAAGCGCATGGTTTCTGATTGGTATAACTATTCTATTGAAAATTCCCAAATGTACAACTTTTATTTTCAATCTATTATTATGTTTAAATAGTTTTTTGAAGAATATCCCAGTAGGATGTTGCCACGCGAGAGTAACAGAGAGATTGAGAGAGAGCAGATAAACACATGGACAGGTTTGACAGTCTGCATAAAACAAAAATACACTGCAACACTGGCATTAGAGTTCACAGAAGAAAATAAAAACTAAATGTTCCACGAAAGACTACGCCAGACAGATTACAAATGCACACAGACATAATATTGTAGATTCATGTAAAATCACACTGAAAGGGATCTGACTTCAAAAGGTAACAACCTGACGTTTTGTTGTTACGATTGAGTGTCCACAGGAGGGCAGAGACAGGACAGGTAAGTATTTGCTGACACATGATCTTTAAGCGTGTATTGTTCAGAGTTAAAATAAGGAGGGCAAAAAATGTTTTTTTAAAGGCTTGTAACTATTCTTCGCCAGCAATAGATTTATACTAGGATCTGTCTAGATTCACCAGATGGACACTGGTTACAGAGGGGAAGGCTGACAGGGAGGCTTACATCAGTAAACCAGATCTATGTGCTGGCAGTACAAACAATGTGGCGAAGTCTCTGCATTAGAGATTGGAAAGATGGGCTTTACATGAAGGAAACTTTGTATAATATCAGTTGAAAATACTGTTATGTAAATCTATGAGAAAAAAGTAGAATTTTTGGTTCAGTTCTTAAAGACATTTGGTGGATATGTATAGTCTTCTCTCTTCTGAAGGAACAAAAGGAGATACTAAAAAGTAGGGCTAAAAATTTACTGCCTGACCATAAGCTGAAAAGGGTGTTGTTTTCTGCCTAATAAAAGTTTAATTGGTTAGTTAACAAATTTTTGCTTCCATTTATACAGGTGGAATTCAAGATGACCTAATATCCGCAAAAAATCTGGAAAAGTTTCTCTCTAATAACATGGTTGGAAACCATGTCTAATGTTTAATTTTCTTCTGGAATTTATACTGAAAGTTCAAACACGGCAAATATACAGGAGAGGACAGATTCTTACTGTTTGTTGAACAGCTTTGTCAATCTGAGAAATAATGGCCACATCTCTAGCTCTCAACCCGAATTGCAGATGGCCTCCCTGTGAACATACAAGCTGCAAGACATCTGCTAACACAATGTAATATCAGGCCATATATGGCAGACTTCAGTTTCCTATCAGCTGAGCAGAAAAACCCCTTTTCTTTTATTTGATCTCACCTTGACTGATTACATGACATAGGCATGATAAAATCTCACATGCAATCTGAGCACACAGGTTGGTCTAATGGGGTGAAGGGTCAGCTGGTCATCAAAGTAACTCATAATTCTCAAGACATATTGAAAAGACAATTTATATCTTAACATTATTTAATGATTAATAATATTTTTTAATAATTAGTTAATTCTTTTTCTATTTAACTTGTAAAAAAATAGGTGAGAACTGACCACACCCTGAAAACATTAACTAAGTAGTTATAATCATTATCGTTTTAATTCGTCTTCCTCTTTCAGGCTGTTGTTTTACACACCTGGCATCAAGGAGACCATTGATGGTAGGCTTGGTAAATGTTCTGTTGAGCTGGAGGACATTTTATGCAAAAGGTTTGGGAAACATCGTGGCAGGGTCAATCACGCCAAACATTTAATCCAAATCACTCAGTCGTCACCCATGAGTGTGCCAGTCTCGAACTCTGAAAGGCAAATCTGCATACTGCTGAAACATATCCCACCAGCCCCTGCTCTCCCAGCTTCTACTTTTGAGATTCTCAGAGAACTGGCACTGTTGGAGTCATGAAGAACAACCAGCAGTGAGCGCCCGACTTCAGCAGCTGTCTCAGCAGGGTTCGGTAACAAGTAAACCATTGGCCTGTTGGGGCTGGCTGGGGGAGGCCTGCAGGTAGAAGCTGAGCCACGCACAGAGCACTTTTGAAGTGAAGTCACCCCTACTTCTGGAGGTACTGAAAGTAACTTGCTAGAGCCAGGAGTATGTGGAATGACTGCAGTCAAAGGCTTCATTCATCCACTGTCTGAACTTAAGCTGTTTTGTTCGAGGGCCAGCAAGAAGCATGAAGTCTCCTGCGCATTCACCCCACTGCTCCAGCACTTCACACACCACACGACACGTACCAGAACACAACAAGCACCACCCAGGTTCTTCATTGTGGCATACGAAAAGGATTGAGTGATATTATCCACTTGATAGCCACTGCTCTTTAAATCAGTTAGTGTTTTCTTGTTATTGCATTGTTACTCAATTAAGATCAATATCACATCAAGTTGGTGCCAACTTTAGTTTGTTTTTTTATTACACGGTGTGATTAGTTCAGGCAGACTCTGGACTCCACTGTCAGGTTATTACTGCATCCCTGTCTTTCTGCTTGTGTTTCGGGCTCATGTAATATGCAGTTGCAAAACTTGCTTTTTTAATAAAACGTACACTGTTTTTTTTTTTGTTGCATGCAGGTTAAAGCAGCAGCTGACTTCCGAGATGATAGGTGGGTATTTGTGTCACAAAGAAGGCAGAAAGTAAAGTGATAGACTAAATATAGACAAATATATTTATGTTTGCATATATTTGCATGCTACCTGTGGTTTTTCGTTATTCATATTTAATGGATTAATTCAGCTACATTATACAGAGTATTTTGATGCACATGCTGCTGAAAGGGGAACACCTGCCCATCCTGCAAGCAGCTGGAAGAATGACTGATTCATCTCTTGGTACAAACTCCTTGTCAATCACCCTTAAATTTTGTATCTTTGATTTGCATGTGTACTTGATGAAAGTAATTCTGAATGAAATCAGCAGTCATAAACATTGTTTATGTATTTTTAAAGGCCACTTTGTACATTTGCAATGTGCTGTACAGACGGTGCTGACAACACTTCTGCCTCAACAAAAAAAAAATCCCTTTGTTTAAATAGATGACACAAAGTAAACACCTCTACAATAACCACCTCTGCCCTTTTAGACTTGTCAAGGTACAATGTTGAGTAAGAGTTTGATACCCAGTATTAATAAATTTCATTACTCCATATATGCTGGCACATATGTGGATAAAAAAACAATAAAAACAACTTGCATTTCAGCTGCAAAAGGAACTTTTTTATTTTTTATTTATTTATATTCTGAAGATTCCTTTTTCTTGTGCAATTAAAAAAATCATCTCAGTTCACTGGAATTTCTGTTTGTTAAGAAACTGATTTACAGGAAAGTCATTGTGCCTGAAGATAATATAACTAGAATTACCACCAATCTATCAAGCTGCAGTTTTGCATACATGTGTAGCCATCATGATTACAGCCTTTATCTGCAG